AAAGCCTCTCTTAGATCTGTTTATTTGAAATGCAGATCTAGATTCTACATACGTTGTTTTGCACGTCTTACAGTCTTAAAAGTCTCTCATTCGCTGCCCTAATCGAAACGTTTCATGTTGATGCAGTGCCATAGGCGGTGAAAAATAGACTTTCATGAAGGCTTTTAATTTCCCCTGTGTTGTCCCCCCCCCCCCCTCGATGGATAATTGCAGAACAGGGAAGTGTTCTGGCCTGCTCGTACGCCCTCAACACTCTCGTAAACAGCCGCTACTGTTGTGGCTTCTCCGGCTGGCAGCTGAGACCTTTATGTTGGTCTTCCTCTCAGTTTTTTTTTTTTTTAGTGAGAAGCGGTAGAGTAAAGAGGGCTGAATGTGAAGGCTGTGCCCGTGCCAGCACACCTATGCAGCTCAGCCCTTCCTCCTACTCAGAGGCAGTTTACAGGGAGCCTACTCACTGCTAACTGACTGCAGGGCATGATGTCATCCCTCCTCTCCTCAGGAAAAAAGTGCTGACCAAGGCAACACAACTCCCTTATTAAATTCTTACAGAGCAGCAGTAACTTTTCCTCTCCTCGACTTCATCTGTTTTCAGACTGCAGCCAAGGTCCTTTTAGAAGGGAACATGATGAGTATCAACTTAATTAATTATATTTTTTTGCCATGTGTTTATAGTCATATAAACCAGCAGTGGTTGGACAAAGTGAACACAAAATGTGGGCTTCTTCATGAAAGATGCTGCTCCTAGGCTATGTCCCCATTGTATCAACCATTTCGAAAGCCGCCACACTGGACCATGGGTGAGTCCTTCCAATGGGACAGTCGCCGTGTAGCATATCAAAGGAGACCCGAATTGTCTCAGAGAGTGACAACAATGCCGGTGATCCGCCGATATCTGACATGTTCTGGCCCTGCTGCTGAACACCCAAAATGGATCAGATGGGTTTTTAGTGTGTGTTGACTATTTGGTGGAGTGTGTGCGTGTGTACTGCTGCTGCAGTCCGTCTCTGTCATGGCCCAGTGGGCATGTAGGCCGTGAGCTGTGCTTCCACAGCCCCACTGTTTGGAAGCGGCCCTTTTCCCCGACTGTGCCCCAGCCGAGCGCTCAGTCTAGTTAAAACCAGCTCCAGACTAGAGGCCATTTATTTCTAATTTGGATATGAACGGGAAGCTTTGCATAGCTGACACACGCTGCTTTATAAAAGCCCCATTCAAATCTAAATGTTCCTCTTCAGTGTTTTGATTACCATGTCGATTCCAGAACTGAGGGTTAATTGTTAGCATGGAGGGATGAAGGGGTTTTGAACCTCTCACCTCACAGTTTTAAAAGTTCAGCGTGTCCTCCTGGAAATAGCACAGTCCTACAGAGAATAGCAGAGACCCCCCCCCCTTCTGACAGCACTGCAGCACTTTGTTGGCAAGCAAGCATCATCCTGGCCCGTCGTCATGGCAGCCTTTATCCCTTTCATGGAAACGGAGGCCACTCATTGAGAGTGACAGGTGGATTTAGAGCTGTCTGTCAAGAGAAGTTAACTGTTGAGTGTGATGTGAGCCGACAGTGGACAGAGGTCATCGCACCCGGTGAGTGGCCGGTGGGGTTTGTTATTCATCTTTGATCTGTGACGGGGAGGATTGTCTTTGCTGCTACAAATTTCACAAGCCGCTTGGTTATTTATGAAAGGAATCCGTCCTAAGTGGTCTTTTGTCACTGTGCCGTTCATCCTGATTCCACTCAACCCCCGAGCCTGGGCCTCTTTGAAGAAGAGTCTACCCAAAATCCCCAAAAGATGGTAAATGATGATAGAAATATTTGATATATGATAGAGATATAATACTTTTAATGATCTACTACATGAAGCAAATCATAAGTTTTTCTTCTTTTTTATTTCAAAGTTTCAAGAAGGTACCTCACTTCATCACTAGATAAAAGTGAGATGATTTGCAGATGTTTGGAACTACTTTATGTAACTTTTTCCAGGTATAATAAATGACCTCCCTCCACACGAGGAGCTTGTTGGTAGGAACGCGGCTGAATAAGCTGTTTTTTTTTAATGCTCAGCACACTGTCACACAGATGTTTGCAGGCTGAGCTGCCGAGGTGAGCAATTCCTGAGCAGCAGATCTGTTAATCCAGCTGAGAAGACTCTCGATCCCAGCCGTTCCTCATTAACAGAAGCCTTGCTCATTTACCTTCATTAGAACGAAGCAGAGATGTGTTTCGGGTGTGAGTGTAACGGAGAACATGGGCTGCGGTGTGTCCCAGAGTTTAAAGAGAAAAGAAAACACACTGTGTTTTGCAGTCAGTGCAGTAGTTTAAAAATCTACCCCCAAGCTCTTCTATCTGTGATTTACTTTTAATTACAGGCTCAGGTTTCTTTTTTGTCCATGCGTTTGTTTGCAAGCCTGCAGGAAGATCACCGAAATGATTCAGAACGTGCCCTTTTTAATGTTTGGGGGACGATAAAACAGTCGTGACAAGGGCTCGTTTTGAAATTCAGCCCAGTGAAAATCCGACGGCGTCCTCTTCGTTCTGTATTTACATCAACATTTGATCCCGGTGACGTGACGCTCACACGAGGACAAAGTCCAAGCAGCTCTGCATCCGGCAGCCTTAATGGATTTGTTCGTCATTTTAAAGCCACGGAAACAGGACAGAGAAAAATCTGCTCTTTACGTCTTCGCTTTGTCAGTCATCAGAAAAGCCGAGTCCCTGCGGTCACAACTACTCTCAGGTTACGGCAACAATTTACAAAACAACTGCTTTGACCTTTATGAGTCTAGTTGGTAATTATACACCTACAGAATGATTCATCTGCAGCCGGACCACCACGTCTCTGCGCTGACGCTCCATTTAAATAAAAGCCTTTTTCTCCTTTTTCTCTGGGGTCTGCAGCGGCATGCTCACTCTACCTCTCAGTTCAGTTCAGCTTATAGTACAGTAATGATTAGGAGCCCTGGACACCATCTAGAAATCAGCGGAAGGGTTATCTGCACGTGTGAGTCTTCTTTTTTGGGGTCACTCTAAATCGAAAGTTCATGGAGATCAGCATTGTTTGTTTTTCAGACTCAAACTCAAAGTTTTTCGGACATCAGACTCGGGTGACCAGTTGTGGCCTCTCTTGCCTCGTCATTCAGCACCAGAGAGATCCGGCCATTCCTGACACAGCGAGCTTCTCATTCCCTGCTCTCAACCAACTTCTCCCCTCAGGGAGATGATGTTATGATGTTAATTGTAAATTGATCTTGAGGATCAGAGATTTGCCTGCTACATGCATAAATGCAAAGTCAGGGGGTGTCCCATGTGCAGAGGGTTAAGCCCCTCCGTGCAGCCGCCCCCCCCCGTCCCAACCCGGCCACACTTCCTGTCTAACACAACTTTCCACCACCAGCGCCAAACAGTGCCAGTGACCGTTGCCGGCTACCTGTTTTGCTCATTTCCTTATGTTATCAGATCGCATAAGAGAGCTCAGATCATTGTGGCGCAGCGTTGCCGGACTGTCTCATGGATACCCCACCGTGACCGGCGGACTCATTGGAAGACTGGCAGGGACCCGCCGACCCAGTTATGGCTTTCTTTTTTGAAGTCGGATGTGCGGTCCGATCTCTGCTCTCCGGCCGGGGTGATTTGACCGAACACTCTCTGTGCTCTGTGGGTGTGTGTGTGAACAAGCGGGTCGATCTTACCGTATGTGTGTTCGCTGGGTTGTAGTGATGTCAGACTAAGGCTCCATTGATTTTTCAATCAGATCCGTTTCCTTTCGTTGTAAGTCAGCTCTTTTTCTCCTTGACACCGTCTCCTATTCAGTCACATGTTAAGCTTCAGTCCTCTGAAATGACTGTTTGCCCACACGGGGATTCACTGGACAGATTCTGGCTGAGAAATCCTCTCTTCAGAGCAACTCTTTCTCCTTTGATTGACACTGCAGCATGCATTTTTTACTAAGGCCGGCAACACATGAGAGCTCATGTGCAAAATCAAGCCCCAAACTGCTGGTTTCGACTGAGAGGAACAAAACAATTGATCAACTTCTGTCATGTTAATTTCCTTCGGGCAGTATTGTTAAAAAAAAAAAAAAAGGATGACAATGAAAGGGTTCGCAGAAACTATAGAAATTAAAGTTGCCTCGGTTGCTTTGTTCTGTGACCAAAAACCCGCAGAAGCTCGGCAGTCGTATTTGTGTGGCTCAAGAGTAAAAACCTGTCTGGCTTTGTTTGTTTGTTAGCATTTGCATAGTTACACATCAGCCAGCAGACACGTCGGCCACATCATGGACCTCGCTGCTGACATGGCAGCGATAAATAACTTCTGGAGTCGCAATTTGTATTTGATCAAAAAAAGAAAAAGAAAGAATTCAATCAGCAGTGACCGCATCAGGGCTGTTCTGACTGTGGTGCAGCTGTTTCCGCTTTAATCTGGCCCGTTAGCCACTCACCCAGGGACTGAACGATCCCATCGGCACGCACGAAAAATAATGTAAAATAGTCACACGTATGAGAGCTCAGACAGGTTAAGGACACACAAAAACACACAAATTCGAAGGGCAGAGGCTGCTGTGTACGCGGCCCACTTCACTCAGACGATAAATCTTATAATCGACCGGCTCTCCAAACACGCTCAGCATATTCTGGACTTTATTTCCTAACCGCGCTCTTTCGCCTTATTGATGCTTCTGCACACACGGGAGAACCCTGGTGTCGTTTTTTGTTGTTGTTTCCTCCTAAAGACGGAGCAGACCTTGATGCTCGTCTAGATAAATGTTTTTCTGAGCACCCTCCTTGTACTGCAAGGTCCCCGCGTGTCCAACCTTTCACAGCCAAGGTTTCAAACATCCCTCACGAGAAGGGAGGATATTCGAGCGTTAGTCAAGTGCAGGAACATGATGCGAATACCTCTGAATACCGCGTGTCTGTAACATTCGCAAAGACTTTAAAGGCTTCAAACAGCTTTGGACAAATGAGCCAGACCGAAGGCCAGAAGCCGTTCAGAGTCCAACACTGAGCAGATGGGAAAGAGCTGGCAAAGCAGAGACGAGCAGGCCTGCCCCAAGAAGAAGCCCATCAGAGTCATCAGTGTTTTAGCTCTTTGATATTTCATCTTGTAGGATAGTCAGCAGATTCTCCTTGTGTCTTACCAAGAGCCAGTCATGTGTGCGACGGCCTCACAAATACCATATGGTACCAACACACACATGCAGATGGAGTTGTTTTTCCTCTTCTTGCTTTTGATTGACAGGTGGGCGGTCCAGTGACCGTCTCCCATGGCGCGTGCCGCCGGCCGTCCCGGCGGGGGGCGTCACCCCTGCCTTTATTTTCCAATTAGCTCGTCGTCTGCGGCGTGTCAGAGGTGTCTGGAGTCTTTCATAGAAGCAAACGAGGCCCTCACCCCGCGTGTGGTGAATTTGGCAGCTGGTTCCGCCAGATCTCTCTGCAGCTGGCCACGCGCACCCCGAAAGTCCTTAGTTTGGATCAGCACTCATGGCGGGTGTTTTACCGTTCCACTGGAGCCGTCACAACCACTATTTCTCTTAAAATATGACGTCAGGGGGAGTGAACGATGGTGTCCAGACTGTGATTTGACAGGGCCAAAATTTAGATAGAAAACTAGGAGAATTACTCGTGATACTTCCTCCTGAATTAAACTTTAGATGCGCACAGATGTGGAATCTGCAGCTGTTGGAGCTTCTTCAGCTCCGGGGCTTATCGGGGGAAAAAAACCCAGGTTTCGCGCTGATGTCGGCCACATGATTTTCTCCTGTTACAGTAAGATGACTCTCTTTGTGACGAGTCGCTAAATGGCATCTTTTTCCTTTTTTTCCCCTCTCCCCCACCATTCCCCCGCTTCCCTGGACTCCAGACTTTAACTATAACACAGATGGCTACGAAGGGGACGGAGCAGACGATGGGAAGTCCCAGGACGGCTCGGAGACGCTGCCCTACATAGATGAGTCGCCCACCATGTCGCCCCAGCTGTGTGCCCCCCAGGGGCCCGACGGAGAAGCAGTGTCCCCCACACCACCAGAGAGCCTGCTGGCTGGGGTAAGAACACGAGAACTGATTCAGAGGGGGGCACCATTTACCGTCTGACTCATTGATGTTCATATGACATCATGAAATAACGTGACAGATGGGGGGCAAAAAGGAGGTGGAACTAAATTCACCACCCTGATATGAACAGTTATCTGCCAGAGGCCAACATTAGTATTTTTTAAAACCTTTTTATTCAATAAAAAATCATTTAGGAGCTCATATCAGTCACATCAAGCAGGTGTCCGTAAAGCTGCTGTTCTTTTTGCAGCTTTCTCCTCTTATCCATTCACAGTGTTTTCCTTTAGATCTCAGAGTTTGAAAAAAAAAGCAAAGGGCTTGTTTAACTTTTAGGAAGTAAAAGAAATAAAAGCCTGTATCATAGAAGTTTAGTATATTCATTACTACAGAATATTCAGAGATTAACATGTAACATATCAAATGACCTCAGTGGTAATTCAAATAATCCTATTCTCATCTCCAGTTTGAATCTTAAAAGCCATAAACTGAGTTTTTCTCCTCTCTGGCTGCAGTAGGAGCTTTACCAGGGGCTGTGGGTCTCCAGGTTTTTTAGCACCTGTAAGCTGTTAACATTTAGCCACAGTAGCTGGACTGCCCGCAGGAGGTGCATTCACAGCAGCAGGAAGTGACCACCGAAGCAGATGGGCTTTGAAGCAACAAGCAACAATCTGCCAGTTTGAGTGTGAATACAACATTTTAGGGTTGCTGTGACCCTCAGTTACCGTAACTGTGAATCAGCCTACAGACTCTTCTTTGGCTGTTACTCCATCTCTATTTCAAGCCTTGTTTCTCTGGTATCAGTGTGATCCAAATAAGCTCATGCTTTGATCATTGATCTGCTTTGAAAAACGTAGTTCATATATTATTAAGGTATTATCATTATTCAGGTGCATGTTCAGTGTGTTATGCTGGAATGGCTCACGTAAACAAGTCTCCATCTAGTGTCCAGCAGGGGTATGAACAGAGGATATCGCAGGAATAATTTTCCCTCCTCTCGTTTTCTTTTTGTTCTGTTTCTGGTGCTTTTGAATCCATGGATGCTTTAGCTGCTAAAAAAAAATGAATTGCAGTAATACCTTAGAGGTTAAGCACAAAGGACTTAACCTGCATTTTTCCTTTCTTTATGTCTTAATAGTTCCCTTTATCCTTTTTTTCCAGTTCAGCTTTTGTTTCTTTCCTGTTTCCTCCCACTTGAATGTTACAGGCTGAAAACACTCAGTATTAAAAGTACAGACGCTGGTTTGGTGCTTCCTTATATCCTAAACATCAGGAGTAAAAGTGTACAATCATCACTTTAAAAGTTACATACGTTTTTTTTTGTGCCTATTTATTTCCCAGATATATTAATGTGTGTATTTGAATGGGTGAATAAGGTGCATTAACTTAAAGCACTTTGTAGAAAGGCGCTTTATGGAGTTCAGTCCGTTTTATTTAATTAGTTTACGGGCAGTTCTGCCACATCCAAGATGGCGGACTCGATGGGCCGGGACTCTCCTCTGGGGAGACCCGGCCCCCGGCAAGAGGGGCCCCCGGTTCAGTCCGTTTTATTACAGGCAGTTCTGTCACATCCAAGATGGCGGACTCGTTCACGTATCGCTGCAACGGACGAACAACCTGGGCCGGAGGGGGGCTACCGGGGGCGGAGGGGGGCTACCGGTAAGGGACCTCTTCTGGGGAGGCCCCGGGCTACCGGGGGCCGGAGCCGGGGTCCGGTAGGGGGCTACCGTGCCGAGTGCCAACATAGGAAATAATCTGAGCAAAATTATTCTTTTCCAAGGTTTTCAACTTGCACAGCCACCCCATCCCCCAACCAGACTAAAGGCCGATAATTGCACTGATTGAGAAATCTGAGCAAAATGCTGGAATTTATCTCACGTAATGTAGAGAAGGATAGTTGCAGGAGCACCCTGAATAATGGCCAACACAAAACAAAACAGAGGAGGAGTAAAACCACGGGCCGCACCGTCGGAAATCACTGAGTGGACTTAAGATGTGCAGAAGGATTTTCAAGAAATATTGATGTGGAGCAGGGGGTGAGGTTTAGCGAGTCCAGTGGCTTCATTCCCGAATACACACCAGTATAAATCACACAGTGTGTGCAGTCTTAGTTACTGCTGCTCGTGAGTTCATTTCCAGAAACCAGCGGTATCGATTCCCCAGCTCTTCTCGGTGCACACGTGTTATCTTTTAAACACCGCCGTGCCGCGCCTTTGAAAACTGCTGAACTGCGTGACCCGTGATTAAAATCAGCTGTACATTCCCCGGCCCCTGCCCGACGTCCACCGCTCCCCCAGATCAATACAGACACGATGACCAGACGAGAGGGGAGAGAGAGAAATCATGGTGCTGCTGTGTGAAAGGGAGAACCTGCGCGCGATGGGGAAGTGGCTGCTGCCCAAAGAGGACGGAAGACCGAAATAAAGAACAAAATAAAGAGGATGAAGCGGCCAGAGCAACGACCTGTGTTGCCATGAAGGAAGTGGCTGGATAGTGTTTGTTGTGAGGGGAGGGGCGGATGTCGAGAGAGGGCAGAGCTCATCGACCGAGGTGGAACAGCGGCTCACACACACACACACACACACGCCAGCACCAGGAAGCCCAACAGAGGAAGGGGGTGGGGTTGTGTAGGCGGAGTCCTCTCCCTTTCTCTCTCTCGGTGTCCAGACGACTTGCTCCCGAAGGGAAAACCCTGATGAGCCCAGGCAGGCCCTGAAGAGGGGAATTAGAAGCAACAAGAGGAGAGAGGAGGTGGTGAAAAGACAGGGGAAAGAGCGAAGAAAACCATGGAGGAGGAAGAGGAGGAGGCGCTGTGCTACTTGGACAGGGTGCTGGAGGAGGAAGAAGAGGTGTTTGAATACGGAGATGGGGAGCTGGATCCCATCACTCCGACACATAGGCAGTTCAAGGTGAGGCGGGATCTGGACAGCTGGACGCAGGGAAAAAATCCACCCACCCAGACACACACACACACACACATGAGCGTACGCACTCAGTCTGCCAGCAGCCCGGCCGGCCCTGAGAGCCCGTCTGGTGATAGAGAAAGGCAAGGTCGTAACTGGAGTCCCGGCATGGTGTGGCGTCACCAGATCCTGCTCTGAGCTCTGAGTGTGTGTGATGGCTGTCTGCCGTTTGAGGAGGCAGCCACGCCGGAGCACATGTCTGCTCATCCCGCCGCTCCGCCAATGCGAAAGTCTTCTGTTTTCTCATGCAAACTTCTCTGCGCGAATATGTGTGTACGTAGACGCCACTCTGGGACTCTTAACGGTATCGACGCTGTTATCGCACTAAAATTAGAACAGAGGTTGCAAAAAGGAAAGCGTGCGCAGTCTTTCTGTTCAGAAGTACGCTCAGAGGAGCAGGTCGCCGTGGAAAAAATCCTTTCACCACTCATGTATTTCTCATTTTGCCCTCGTCACACAGTAGCTCTTTGTACGGCGGAGGGAAAATATTCCTCTTCCTGGCTTTTTTCCCCCCTTTTTTCAACTCGCTGTGACATATTTGTTACTGAAACTGAATCTGCAGCACTTTGTCACAACGCTAAAAACACCTGCAGGCGTCCAGAATCTCAGCTCTCACCACTAGTCTTGGAAAGACTTGATAGAAGACAGTGTAACTTATCTGTAGGTACTCTTCATAGTTCTTGAGAAGCAGCCCTTTTGCCTTCAGCCCATAAAGTGTGACTCATCTTTATGGAGGTCGGTGTATCGAACTTGACATTCTTTTAAAGTAGTAGTAGAGGGTGTATATTACAGGCTTTAACCTCTCTTAGTGTCTCAGTGTTCTATACTGTGGGGTGCTCTTAACTTTCTCAGGTAGTAAAACACATGTAGCCTGACAGGGTGGGGGGGGTGGAAACTTGAAAAAATATGCTGTCCTGGAAACTTCCCCCGGTTAGATATACATAGAAATCATCCAGAGAAAGGGGGGGGAAAAAGTTTGATTCATGGGGCTGTTCACCTCAGCTGTTAGCTATAGTTACCCATAAAAGTGGGATCTGTTACTGTACTGTACACGTCAGCGTGGCCTTTATCAGTGGCACAGGGTGGACATCCTAGCGATAGGATTATAAAGATGAGTTTCATGGCTTCCTCCCTGACCTATCAGCCAGAGCCGGTGAGCTGATATCACCTTAAGGATCGGGATGTGTTAATAATTAATAATCCGTTCTCCTCTCATAGCTGCTCTTTGACTCCCCTTAAAGACGCTTGTGTAACTGTAATTAGTTTACAGCCGTTTCCTGCCGCTTTATTGTGGACGCGGACGCGTGTCTCCTAAACTGATGCCTGAACAGGTGTCCAGTTTCTGTTTTATTACAACCAAGGCTGTCTGCCTTTCCGTCATGTGGTAACCCTGTACACCACTTTTTGGTGTTTATTCTATTTTGCGCATCATAATGTCATAAAAGTTGCTGCTATAAATGCGCACGGTTTGCCGAGCACCTCTTTAAAAGTAGATTTTTTTTTCTTAGTTTGCGTATTAGTCGCGTATTTGGAGCATCTGTGTGTGTCAAGCCAAGCTGCCAAAGAATGTATGTCCTGACAAGCAAGGTCAGACTGAGCAAAACAAGCTTCAGCGAACCCAAGAGCTGCCTTTATTATTAGTCCTTTATTTGTTTTGTCTATATTTCAGTGATAGAAGAGTAGAAAAAGAGTGAAGAAGTATGATTTGTCCAGAAAAGCTGCCAAAAGAAAGCTTAATCTCTCTAAAAAGAACATTACAGCGCATCTTAGGTCTGTAAAGGTCCATCAGAGCAAATCTCAAGACTTCTGGAACAATGTTCTTTTTCTCCAGATCAGATCAAAGTGCACAACATTGAAACTCGAATTCTGGAGTCAGAACCGAAATAAAGGCATACTTTCATTTTCACATAGTGGTATGAATTGTGCAGCTCAGAGGCAGCTCTGGACCCCCGGGGCTGCTGTCCTTTTTGATGTCTTCTCTTTACGCACTTGATTAAAATCCACAAAACATCAGCAGTCATTTGCAGAACTTTTTATTGTTCCAAGTTGTATGGATGGAAATGAACCCTTCTCCAGTTTGACCATATTTCCCCCCTCAACTGTTATACTCAAAGACTGTTCAGAAATAAGGAATAATAAGGATAATAAGGAATGAACTCCCAAATGTGTCCTGTTTAGATCCTGTTCTGTTTGTCAAATGTGGCTGTGATGTTAAAAAACAGCTGGTGAAGGCTGAGAGAGTCAGCCTTTCTTTACAGGAAGCAAGCTGTTTAGATGGTTTTAGACACAATGAATATTTTTGCTGCCAATTTGAAATTGTTGGCATGTTTACCTTGTGTTTACCTAATGTGGTAACTCCGGCGGTAACATACAGGAAACAGGCTTTTGTCGTGAGACTCCGTTGTGTTTGCAAAATTTTTCCTTGAAATTTGTGTGTGACCTATCTCCTCATGGGTGTCTAATTGCTGTCTTCTCTTTCAGGGAGACATAGAGAAGGGGCTGGAGATGAAGAAACTGGTCCTGTCTGGTTTCCTGGCCAGCGAGGAGATCTACATCAACCAGCTGGAGTCACTTCTGCTGGTGAGACGCGCACGTGTTCAGAAACAAGAAAATAAAAGAGAAAACGAGCCGCCTTCTGCTGCTGCTGCTGCTGCAGACTGAACCCCATGAACAGATTCTGGTCACACAGGAGGCAGGACCGCTGCTGTTTCCTGATGCTAACGGCGCACGCTTCCCCGGCCACGCCACCACAGAATGTCATATCCTGCCAGTCAGCCGCACGCTAGGCTTTGACCAACATGCGGTTCTCATGTCGTCAAATGCAGTTTTACAGTTCATTTTCTCATTTTCTGGCCAACTGTCAGTTAATAAGGACATTTGATGCATATTTTCATCTCTGGTTGATGAGAAGAAGGGTAAACCTATAAGAAAGGCTGGTTTTCCTGAGAAGTTACTTTATGTAGGGAAGGACCAACAAGTCGTGTTTAGTTTGCTTTTTCAGACACAAACCTCGGCCCGAAGTGGAAAAAGTCATGAAAAAACTCCCATCCTTTTCCTTTATATCTGTTTCCATTTAGGAACTGTATGAGCTGAATGTGAGGACACTTATTAGATATGCTTACTATCGAGCTTTATTAGTCATGTTGATGCATGGTTAGAGTGATTGTGTCAAGGCTTTTCGCTTTCTTATTTCAACCAGAGGTGGAAATCCTTGGACTGCATCTTCTCATTCCTGTTTAGGCTAGCCACCGACTCTGAGACGTCATTACGTCAGGCTCTTTATCAGCTCCCCCCCAAAAAAACATAGATTATTTACCGTTCAGCTCGTCCTGTGTGGTTGAACAGTGTTAAAAGTTCTCCAAAGCAAATTCCAAACCTCCAAATCTTCCATCTGTTATAAGTATTACAGTTCTTGGATTGAGCTCCTATTTCTATAGAAATAACACCTATACATTCTGATGAATGAATCTAAAGTTTTTTCTACTCGCATCCAAGACATTTTCTTACTTACTGAATGGATGAAATCCATTCATCTGTTTAGCATATTTAGTCAACCTGATGAGGAATTAGTTGCCAGCCTATCAGGCCCCTCGGGGGGGCGTCCTCTGCTACGGTCACAGCTTTAAAAGCGCCCCAGCTTTATCCAGCCCCTGTTATGACCACGACACTGACTCACCGTTAGCGAAAGCCTTTGTGTGTTTTGCTGCGATTCAGACCCACTGGGGCCACTCCGCACGTCTCTGTGATTAACTGAGTTGGTGGACAAGCTGCCCGTTCAAAAAACGTCACAGAAACAAGGAGTCACCCACCAGCAAAGCAGCAAATGTCACACTCTGGCTGACATATCCAAACTGTAGGCCAGTTCGGCCAGTTTATACAGAAATATGTATGTCATCGATCAGTTAAAGATCTCAGGTATCGTTGGATATTCCCCGTGTACTGATCTGGGTTTGTCCACTCTCGCCCCCCCCCCCAGCCCATGAGGCCCCTGAGAGCCGCAGCCTCTACCTCCCAGCCCGTGCTGACCATCCAGCAGATAGAGACCATCTTCTACAAGATCCAGGACATTTTCGAGATCCACAAAGAGTTCTACGACACCCTGTTTCCCAGCATCCAGCAGTGGGACGAGAAGGTCACTGTGGGACATTTGTTCCAGAAGCTGGTGAGTCGGACGTGGCCACAGAAATTACAGTGTGCGCCTTTTTATTTTTTATTTTCCCCTCTCTGTCATTCACGGGGAACACATAAATGTCTGTGGAAGGGAGAAATGACGTCTCAGTTGAAACTCAGTGAATCACTTGATCTAAATTTGACTCTATGTGGTAGTGTGTGGCCTCTTGTTTCCAGCATGATAGCAGAAGCACGCATGCTTCACTATCTGGTCACGTTATCCGGCTAAGGTTAATTTGAATAAGTAACGTAAAATTATTGTGTGTGTGTATATATTTAGATATATTTATAATACAAACATACATGTATGTGTACATATTAAGTGTGCCTATTCATTTTTAGATTTGCAGTGAAAAAGATCCTTTGAAAGGGCTTATTACTAAATGCTGTGTGTATGCTGTGTGTGTGCACGTACTGCACAGTCTGTTTTTGTGAAGGCTGATGCAACAGGCTGTAATATGATCTTACAACTAAAATGGCAAAAACAGGACTTTAAGTTCACGTTGGAAAAGCAAATCTGTATGCACATTTGACTTGTTAGAAATTCCTGTTAAGTATATATATAAATAAATAAACTAAATCCATCAGCAGTGATCAGGGACAAATGTTATTGGTGGTTTAGAATTGTCCTTAACTGGAAACTCCTCAGACAAACACATAGAACAGTGTCCGAGAAGTGCTGCAAATTGACTCAACTAAACAATTACTATGTACTCATTGCATGATTTATTTTACCACTGTTAATTATTTGCATGTTTAATAATCTTTTTGTTATAATTATCGCTTATCACATCTTTATTATTGAACAACAGCATTCTTCAGCCTTTTCCCACACAAATTCTGCTCAGATTATGGGGTGATGGCCCATTATTCCAGCTGAGTCGGTCACCATCTCTTTTGTGCAACCTCTAAATGTGGCTGAAAAGCAGCCCAGTAATGATTACGTTGCAACTTTGGGGTCATTTTAAGCATCCCCACCCCCATTGCTTTAATAAAATCAGGATTCTATAATCTCTGAGTCATCCGTCAAAATAACCTCTGAGGTAATTTAAAGACAGCTTCTGTGCTGTGGAACAGGCTGTGCTTACATGCACAACGTTAGGAGCACCGGGGCCTGCTGAGACTCACAGCGTGCGCCATAACCAGTCTGTCACCATGCGTGTACACTTGGACAGGAAATTGGTCCAGTTATTGGCAAAGCAAGACTGAAACCAAAGCACAGCCTACCCTTTGCTTTGCATTGACTTATATTCGTGGGTTCGTCACCCATGTATAGATTTTAAAGCTGACAGAGGAACATAGCATTAAATTCCTGCTTTGGATTTCAATGACTTTATATGCTTAAATGAACCAAGTCAGTCACGATTCACATTACAGGTCACCATGATATTATCATTTTTAGCTATTTAGCAATCACAGAGTGAGAACATCTGAAACTTGGGGGTGTGTGGTATCGCTTTTACCAGTGTATGTATGTTGTGGTTAGCTTGCTGATAAGCTAACTAATCAAAATAATAATTTGCTTGTCAGACCAGCTACTGGAAACCTCACATGAAACGACGACAATAACCCGATTGCAGCAAACTGCATCGGCTTCAGAGTAAGTCAGTTTTTGTCTGTGCAGCTGGAAATAGGGAAACATTTAATTCATTAAAGGATCTGCTGCACCAGCAGTTTGAGATGTGCGACTGCATGGCGGCCTGCTTGGCAGTGCTCCGATGAGCTGATGTCTCACAGTCAAAGGAGCTATGCGACTATCTTACGACTTTCAGAACTTCTGGTCAACAGCTCTCCTCCTCTCAGGAGCTCCGCCGAGCGTCAGCGATCCCCGTAGTCATCAGCTCCCATCTGTGCTGCGCGCACTGCGTACATGAGCATGCCGCGTGGCGGCGAAAGGCTTAGTCAGAGCGGCAGTGTGAGAGTGCAGATGGCAGTGCAATTAGCTGCTCTACTCCTGCAGAGTTCCAGAAAAGAGGCACAAAGGGGATCAAAAACAGGGGAAAGGCCCCGGCCGAAGCCTATGACTAAAAGAGGTGTGTTTGTGTAAGCAAATCATCACCGGTGTCACTGCAGGCTGCAACCGGGAGGGGATTAAATGTAAAATAGGCATTGTTTGAAATAGGCTTTTGGAATATTTACTACTCGCCCCCGCCTCTGTCTTTCCTTTTCTTTTTCAGTAAACTGTAAAGCCAGGTGTTGTGTCACGGTGCACGTGAGGATTACTGATTTCATAAAGCAGACCGCCTTTTTGTTCCTTTGTCAGGCGTTCACTCGGGTTCAGAGAACAGGAAATGGGTGGGTTGCCATTTGCCAGATTTTGTGCAGACAGGATGAAGCCCACACTTGGTTGTAAAGTCTGGGACAAAAATTTGATCCCGGCCAAACTGGCAAACTGGAGTTTCTTCTTAAGTGCCTTAAGCACTTATTAAACCTCATCTATGAAAACTGAAATCAATCTGAAAAGTTTGACTTATCAACATATGAATGGCTGCTTGATAAAGCTAACTAACTATTATAAGCTCCATTTTTTTCCCTCTGGCCAAAACCAAGCAGGGAGAAGGTCAGGATCAAAAACAGTGATTTTTAAGATCAAACTGGCCTCTAAGATCTAAATTTCTGTCCACATTAGGCTGTGGCTGGGTAGACATGCTGTTCTGAGCGCCGTTGTGATTAACCCTGCAGCCACTGCCGGTTGGAGCTGAAGATCTATCAGCTGAAGGGGGAACTAAAGCTTTCTGTACAAACAGAGATCCATCTCACTTTGAGAGTTTGGCTTCTTTCATCACACACTGCCTATGTTAACTGTTAGACTTAAAAAGCTTAACACGATGATGATTTAAACTGAATAAATCTGTGCAGACAGGAGCGTTTGATTGATATTGCCGCTGAAACTCTCAGTAAAACCAGAGTTGTGAGATGACCGGGATCGGTTAGGTTTGTCATCTCTATCGATGAATCACTGGAGAAGGTTTTAGTGCATTTCCTGTCTTTTATTGTGGCGAATTAAAATTTTTCACAATTGCACAAACTGAGCTTCAGAACGGAGGGGCTTCCTCAAAAATAATTCAAAACAGCCTGGCTGGACCGTTATGAGGCGTATGAGGAGGAAGAGGCTGGCTGCAGCCAACCCTCTGGTTTCCCGCGGACGCCGCTTCCCAACTTAATTTTCAAAGCTAAGCTGTTGTTTTCCCTGCTGCCGCTTGGAGCTGTTGTGTGAAGCGTTGTCACTCCGTCTGGAGTGCCGCTCAGTGTCTGGTTTCACAGCAACACCATGGACTGATGAATGTCTGATCTCATTCTTCTTGGTTTGAACTTTCCAGCTCAGCTGCCAAGTGTCTATTGTTGGAAATGCAGTAAATCCCGCATGGCAGTTTCTCTCATCCCTCGAATGTTTTTTGTTTTGCTAAATGAATTTTCCGGTTTCAATGAGTATTTGGCTGACTTTAAGTCTGGAGCTGTGCTGAGAATTATCTCAGTATAAATGTAATGTTGGTCAACACAACAAAGAGCATATCTTTAACCTCTGAATTCAGTCTAAATGGCTCTTTGAGCCAAACGTTCCACTGCTCGAACCGAGGGTGAGGAAATGAAGACAGGAGGATGGGGAGTTTAGGAACAAAAAGTAACAAGCCCTCCTCGTTCACTCGATTCATCTGAGTTAAATCTCATTTCTTCAATAGGGTGCAGTCAGCTCTTCTGCCCCGGCATTGGAGCATCGCTGTAGCAGGATGCATATTCATGCCCTGCTGCTCTGCAGCTTGTGTTACAATGCACAGAGTTCTGCAGAGAGGGGGGGGTGTTAATGAAAGGGAACAGAAAAGAGAAAGAGGTACACTCTTTCTTTTTGCAATCAGGCTGCACACAGCCGGCTAGGGTTTGTCGTTATGGGGCCGCGATCAAGCTGTGGAAATTAAGCCTAACTCTGTGAGCGGGTGCTTTCGAGGCTCCTCCACTTCAGGAAGCATTCCAATTAGGAGAGAAATGGCTTTCCATGCCACAGCTGCTTAGGCATTTTAATTGAATTGTGTGACCAGCAAGACTATGGAAGCAGCACTTTAAGATGAGTGCAGAGCATCCAAACTGCCCCTGTTAGCATAAGCGGGACTTACCAAATATTAAAGTGTCAGAAAATGTTCTCACCCTGTCTATAGTGTTCGTTAAGCAACTCTGATTAGATTGGAGTGAAATAAAGAATTTCAGGGTCTCACTGTCCCCCACTCCCCTCTGCTGTACCTCCTGCCACAGGCCAGCCAGCTGGGGGTCTACAAAGCCTTCGTGGACAACTACAAGGTCGCGCTGGAGACGGCGGAGAAATGCAGCCAAGCAAACAACCAGTTCCAGAAGATTTCTGAGGTAAGCTTACATTCCAGAATAAGAGGATCTGTGGCCAGAGAGAAAGATTCTGATCTTTAGGACAGGGCAGATGTCTGCATTTGAAGAAGACTGGTTTACACTTTGATAACGTTTTATAACGTTTGCTTGAGCCACCAGTGGTTCTCTCATAGAACAACCCATATGTTTACAGCAACTCTCCAGTTGCAAATTCATTGAATTGTTGGGCTCCTGTAAATAACTTCAGAGTAGGGTCTGACCTGCTCTGTTTGGAAAGCGCTGAGACATAACTGTTGGTCAGGAGCAGCTCGTATCAGATTGTCATGTTTTAACCTTTACAAGCGAACCGCACGACAAACCGCTCAATCTGTGGAATGTGTCACTGTTTTGTTTTCTTCACACAACTGTGTAAAAATGGATCGTTCCTCTCTGCTTCTTTCAGAACCTCAAAGTTAAAGGCCCTAAAGACTCCAAAGATTGCACCACAACAATTTCAATGGAGGGTAAGTACGTGCTCGTGTGCGTGCGCGCTCACGTGCGCTTTTGTACGTCTGTACGTGTGTGAGCGTGCGCGAGTGTGTGGACGGGCCTGCTGCTTTAAGAATCCAGTCCTGCCCCCTTGCTGCTTGTGTATGCAGTGGTGGGCTTCAGCAGGCATGTGTGAACCTGCTCTCCTCTCTCACAAACACACACACACAGACTGACACACTCGCTTAGTTGTCCAGCCAAACTCACACACTCTCTCTCTCACTCACTCTCTCTCTCTCTCTCTCTCTCTCTCTCTCTCTCTCGCTGTATCTATGCCTGAGAAAGGAGGCAGTAGGCAGAGTCAGGGGAGGAGATGAGGGATATGGAGGTGCTCCTGGTCCTCAGACTGTGTTGTAACTGCACATACGGTAACGACGGCATCATCCCGGCTGCCTGCTCGACGGGGAGACGACCTGGAGTGTTGTTTACGCTGTCTTTTTTTGGGAGGGGGGGTATTCGTCACTTTAATTCTGACTTGGATGGTTGGAAGGCGAGATTCTGTGAAGTTGGGCCGGTTGCTTAAGCTCGCGTTATTGGGATTAGACCTTTTGGAAGTTGACTTTTCTGTAGGTTTGCGTGTTTCAGCTTTTGTCAGAAGGTGCTTATAGGAGTTCTAATGTGATGCATTGAAAGCAGGTGTTTACTGACTCTGACGTCTGATGTGAGGACGTCTTTTCACGCCTGTCGGCCCAAAAGCCGAGTCGGGCTGAGGCTGCTTTTCATAGAGAACACTCAGCAACAAAGGGTCCGAGCAGAGGATCTGTGTGTGTGTCTGTGTGTGTGTCTGTGTGTGTGTCTGTGTGTGTGTGTGAAGCGTGCAAACCTACGCTGCTTTTGGGATTGTGCCAGAGGGTAATCCTTTTTTGTCCAGTGCATGCTGTGTGAATCTCAGAGTTTTGTGTGGCTGCGTGGAGCTGTGTGTGCGGTCATAGGTGTGTGAGCTCTCAGCAGACTGTACCTGTGATGTGTGCGCTAATTCACTTACCGTAAATGAGGGAGCCCCGGCTGAGAGCGATGGTTTTAATCACACTGTTTTCATCTCTCCAGCTGAGGCTTCGATTTATTATTGAAAAAAAAAAAAAACGTGGAAATTGTAAGTTTTACCACAGGTTCAGAGGGTGTTTGGGTAGCTTAGCGTGAAACTAGTTTCAGGAGTGTGTCAGCACCCAGGGTAGCTGCTTTGATTAGTTTTGCATTACGGCTCCTTAATTACCTTTCCAGATTTCAGAGGGATTTGTCTCCCTCGCCCACCTTTTTCGCTCCTTTTTGACATGCTGCCTGCCTTTCTTACCTGCACCCATGTGTCTGTTTTCATATGTTCCACCTATTTAACTGGAGCCTTGTCAAATCGGCTCACAGATCCCTTCTTGAAAGTAGTCACTAAAAATGCATCTGATGGTTTTAGGATAGTTTGTGTTGTCTCAGTGTTGAACCCGTCTGACCCTCCTACTAAAGGGATGCAACACCATGTTTTACATCTGAATAAATGAGGATGTATGTTTTTCTTTTACTCTTGGATTTTCATATCCCCCACTCATACGTTTTCCATCCTTTTTCTGGCTCATGCCTGGTGTTTGGGTCCCAGTGTTTTACTAAGGACTGAGACACTAAAGCTGACCTAGCTGTCGACCTTCAGTCATGCTTATGCCACCATTTCGGAGACTTTCTCCACGCCGTTCATTCCCTTGTTTGCAAAGATGAAGTTGCCGTCTGTCTGTCAGCCAAGTCGTCAAGGCGACCTTGAGAAAAGGACCAATCAGACGCATTCCGCTGTGACTGGACATCGACTTCCAATAATCCTCCTTATCCGCTCCTCTCTGCCTCCACCTCTTCACTTCATCCTTTATCCTGATTCTTGAGCAAATGCTGGCGTTGACGTGTCTATCAGTGATTGAAAAAAAAAAAGGAAAAACACGGGGACGGAAATGTTCACTAATCTTTACTAAGTCTGTAGCTGCATTCAGAAAATGCTCCCCAGCGATGCTAGTATATAACTCCGCTAACATCCCTAACTGATGAACGTGGTAGTTTAAACTATTGATGTCAGCATGTAAGCATTTACGCTATTCACCAGTTTGCATGCTGATGCTGGCATTAAGCTCGGTGCAGACGTGGGGCCCCAGCATGCTCCTGAGACTACCAACATCTGCCAGCTGTGTAGTCACCAAGCTAACCCAAAGGCACGCGTGCTCGCCTTTTATTTGACTTGGATAGGAATCTGCATCCACACAATTAGATACTCTCTCCTCTTGCAGGATCTGTGGTAAATCCCCCTGGAGGTAGCAGTACTGGCTCACTGAGCCACGGCCATTGATGGAGGCCGCATAAATGATCAAAGAGCATCTGCACTCTCTGCAGAAGTTCCCCTTCCATTTATACAGTAGCCATATGTGTATCTTAAAGTAGGCTGCTTCAGCATCTTGTATTATTCTCGTACTGATTATTACCTTATAGCATTGTTATAAAGTTTAAACAGATGAATGTTGCGTTCAGGGACCCCCATTTTGCAGCAGGGAACCGTCTGACTGGACGACTCTCCCTGCATACAGAAGGCCCCTTCTCTTCCCTGTCTTCCACTTGGCCAGCTTTTCTTCCCTCTGGTTGGAAAAGAAATCACTATAACTCTTCATTTGTCATAATTATAGGTGGAGATTAGCTCTCACAGAGTGGAACGTTGTCGGCGGCTTTGCAACCGTTTAAATCCCCGTGGATTGTTTTTCTTTCTTCATGTCTGCCCTCACTTTCCTTTTTCCTTTTAACTCACATGCTACTCACATACTTGTTCCTTACACTATTGTGTGACCAGGCAACAATAATATTTTTTACATTAAATGACCTTTTGTGCAAATTGAAGTCTGTCATTTTCCATTTGTTCCCTCTTAACGTGACTAATCGCAGCAGTCATTAAGCTGAAAGTGAATTCAGTAGTTTTATGTGTAAACTAAGTGATGTGTTAAACTTTGCAGAGTGAGTGTGAGCTGAGTGGGAGTATTTATCCATGTTGGAGCTGTGGGACCGAGACCTGCTGTGTGCGAGTGTGTCTATTTAAGCTTATATGTCAGAAACACTGACTCAGAGCCCCTTTTCTCCTCCTCAGCTCTCCTTTACAAGCCGATAGACCGCGTTACCAGAAGCACTCTGGTCCTTCATGTAAGTACAAAACTTCCACTGACGCATCTTTAAAGGGGCCGCTTAGCCAAACTGATTTCTGAGATTTTTTTTTTCCTTTTTTAATCCATAAATACATCTTTACTGCAGCTGAGTGAAGACATCAAATAACAATGAAATAACATTGAGTTAGCAGAATTTAAATCAGAGCCATGTGAGCCATCACAACCACAAATGTGTTCTATTTTAGATATCACCACAAATGCTGAGAGGTCCAAATCTGGTTTTTGTTATTTTATTTAGCATCTTTCCAAGCTAAAAAAAAGCTCCTTTGTACGAGAAAATGAATCAGATGCTGCCAGTCAAGCAAGCAGAGGCGCTGGGCTGTGTCTGAGCCCAGTTGTGGCCCCGCGTGAATATGTTTGCACGAAAGCTGACAGACACTGAACACTATTTGTATCTTCAGCCTCGGTTTTCTTCGCGCCCCAGATAAGAGGCAGCTTTAACAAAAACAAGGAAATGAGATTTTCAGAGATGACTTTAACTCCGTAAGACGCCTGTGTCAATATGTGTCGAATGAAAAAGATCGAATTGAATCAGAGGGCCTCGGTTATATCGGGATGTTGTCTGAATATTAGACTCCAGTCACAGCAACATTTTTGTGGTGATTGTTTGAGGTACACAATTGTTTGTTTGCTTGTGCAGGACCTGCTGAAACACACTCCGAAAGACCACCCAGACTTCCCCCTCCTGAAGGACGCCCTGCGGATCTCTCAGAACTTCCTCTCCTCCATCAATGAGGAGATAGACCCTCGTCGGACCGCTGTCACTACACCCAAGGGAGAGGTGAGAGTGGTCTTTTTTTTCTGTGTCAGCACTGACACTTATGTGTGACAACAAACCGACATCACATCTTTCTCCATAAAATAATCTAAGCCTGAGGCATCGTGTACTCCGAGACATCCAGCCGTCTTTGATATTTTATCTTTGACCTGGAGCTTCAAACAGTGAGCTGATTGTCTGAGTGGTTGGAACCTCTTATTCGATCTCAGGCCCGCCAGCTGGTGAAGGATGGATTTCTGGTGGAGGTGTCGGAAAGCTCCAGGAAGCTACGGCACGTCTTCCTCTTCACCGACCTGCTGCTCTGTGCCAAGATGAAGAAGACGGCTGTGGGGTGAGTGCATTTGACCTTTTGCTGTATCCTCTGGGTGAGTGGGAAAACCGTGTGTAGTTGTAATTCCTTTCAGCATCCACCTGAGTTCCACAGAAAGGACGGCTCTGGTTTGAGCTCAGGGTGGTGGGACATATGGGGTGTCATGGGGCATGACTTCGATAGCTCAAGGGGTTAATGAGCTCAGTGGGGGATTAATTTCCAAATTACACACCCTCTTGATCTCAGCTTGTAAACTGGTATCAACCTGGTGTATTTGGAGTGGTCCAGTGCGTGGAATCTGCTGACAAACAGAGCGGAAGACTTTGGGCATCACATCTAAAACATTTATCAATTGCCAGATTTTAAATTGCGATGTAGGAAAATCAATTTATAACTCATGCTCAGGAACCTGCTAGTTTTCAAACCAAGCAGATCCATTTTTATGCTACTACGTAGACATGCCAATATATAGTTTTCCCACTGAGGTTTGGAGGCAGGACTTTTGTGAGATGTTAAGCATTTTGGCAAAAACTTTATGAAAAGTAAAAAGGAGGAACAGGAATGGTACATGCAGTATTTATCTCCCCTTTAAGGGCTTTTTGCTAGATAAAAGCAAAGCGTGTCAGGCTGCATGCTAATGCTCGGCGCATGTCAGCAGAGGAGGGGCCGCCTTTAGCAGAATGACCCTGTTATCTCGATTGGATCTTCATTTGGTTGACAGTCATCGGCTTTTTCAACGACCCTTCACTCATAGGATTACATTGTGTTGCCATAACTACCCGACCTGTAAATCAGCTGTCATGGTCTGGCCACAGAACGCCACAGAAGCCTCATCACCTTTTGTTGAGTCCTGTTGGACCTTGAAACCCTGTTGAATCCAGATATTTTCTCTATTGGGTCATTTTTAATTGAATCACATTCACAAGTCCACTAACATATGCTGCACATTGTTTCCTGCTGTTTGGCATAAAAGGGAGACTGGATTAATTTTTCTGTTGTTCCCAGCCGTACATCAAACACAGCCCTCTCCTTTTCATTTCTGTGTTCAGTACACGCTGCAGATGTTACAGAAGGCCGTAGCCCAGACCTTTACAGCAGCTGAAAACATGACAAAAGAAGAAAGGAAGAAGCAGGGCTTCAATCCCATATTAACAATGAGCCTTTTCAGTTCCCAAATGTTTGCAAACTGGTGTCGAAAACAGGAGACGCTACATAAATGCGGCCTCACCTAAACCCGCACTGGACTGAATTCCTCTTCCGGCTGTTGAAATGAACTAATTGATAAAGGCGTCATTCTCTTCATGACTCATCTATGCTACCCTGAAAATGATCTTATTAGGTCTGAATATAAACAACGTGCATCAGTCTCCTGAGTGCTGGTGGATGTAGCACTGATGATGCATACATCTCTGTCATTAATGAGCTTTGTGACGACACGAATGGGCTGTGAACCATTAATCATTCAGCTGCATTTAGATGGAATTAGCCCGAACCCCAGAAGGGTTTTTTAAATAGGAAACTGACTTAACCATGGGTTTGCCTTTTAAGTGTTTTTTTGTGCATTTTTACTCATCTGATTCCTTCCTGTTGGTCTGCAGTCGCCATCAGCAGTATGAGTGCAAGTGGTACATCCCCCTGGCCGACTTGACTTTCCAAACCTTGGACGACTCGGACTCCTGCCATAGCATTCAAGTCCTGCCTGAGCATGAAATTGAGGAGATCAAGATCAAGATCTCGGCCTTAAAGAATGAGATTCAGAAAGAGAAGGTAATCCTGTCTTCCCCACTTTTCCTCCAGGCATTGTGAATCCAAATCCAACATAGTCCTCAAATTTAGATGGGATTAGACAGGTTTAACTATGAGTTGACTGGAATTCTTTAATCTTGTATTAGTACAGAAAGGAGCAGAGTTTGGAGATCATGTATTAACCCAAAGGAAGGAAAATATACTTGTCTTGATACAGGATTGGCCTCTTAGCCTTTCATCTGTGAGGGGGACTTTCCAGGGTTCCTGAGAATTAATCAACAGCTGGGCCCCTTTTTCATAAGAAGTACAAACACATACAAGTTAATCATTAATTAACTAAAGTTAGTCAAGGTTGACCAGTTCAATTCAGACTTTCATAACCGTTTATTTATTCATCAAAGCCCAGACTTCCCTGTGTGCGTCGTCCTTACTGGAACCACTGCCACCCCCTCCCTTTACCTGTTAGACACTCTTATGTGGTCTCAGCACAGTCCAGGTCATGAATGTGGGTCTTTTTCAACTGTGAGTTAATAAAAAGAGATGGAAAAAAAAAAAAAAACAGTAGAGGCAAATCAATCTCAAGTGGATCAAAACTAAAGAAAACCTCCATCCTTCTTCTGGTGTTGTTTCCGGTTGTATAAGATGCAGACATTATGAGCTGTCAACAGTTAACAGTTGGCTCAGTTGTACTCTGCCTCCCCCAGGAAAAAAAAAAAAGAGTTCCTGTTATTCCCTCACACAACATTAATTTCGCCCACAGTGAGTGACCACTGCTGGTATTTACAGTCACAGGAGGCCAGTGGAGAGATTCAGCTGATAGTTGCCTGGCAAGCTCTGACTCACAGCTTCCTGGTGGAGGCTGTGTATTTATTTGTTTTCCTTCTATGCTGATAAGGAGCTGAGACCCCTGAATTAGATATCCTCTCCCAGCACATAGCTCATTTTCAAGATGCGCTCACAGCTTTTCCTCAGAAAAAACAAGCACAGAGTTGATTCTGCTCGTACCTTGCTAATTAAGAATTTAAAACAAATTGCTCAACCAATTGCGCAAACATTCGATTACGATCACATTTCCTTCTCATATGATTGTGTGATTCAGAGTAACTGATGTTTTCAGAGCGGTAGCCATTAAACGGCGGCATATTCATCCTCTGCTCTGACGTCCTGCAGAAAAGAAAATGCAGAAAAGATCTAATAGATATCTAAAACTATGCTCATCTATGTTTTGTTCTGATGTGATGAAAACTGCCAAACAACGACTGTTCAATTCTACTCTGTTCTCTCTGCGTTTGTGCAGAAAGCTCCGAAGGGCCAGAGTCGTGTGGATCGTCTGAGGAAGAAGATGAATGAGCAGGAGTCCTGGCTGCTCCTGCACTCCCCCACTATCCCCTTCCGCATCCACAACAAACACGGAAAGGTACTCTGCCTTTGTTGCTGCAATGCTCAGGTCCCACCAGTAGAGGGACCCAGGAGTCTTTCAAAGACTCCTGTGATGGACAAGCTTTTTTATTTCCGATCTTCTAAGAAATCATTTGAATACTAAAAGAATGCATTTGATGTGTTTTTTTAATTTCTTTGTCTGTGTGTGCAGAGCTTTCTGTTCCTCCTCTCTTCTGATTATGAGAGGTCAGAGTGGAAAGAAAGCATTCAGAAACTCCAAAAAAAAGGTATAATTGTCTTTGACTAATTACCTTTAAGTAACTGAAAAGCTCCATAACTGTGCAGTGAAAGTGTAAATGACTGTCTTTCAGATCTCCAGGCGTGTGTGTTAAGCCCCGTAGAGCTCCAGGTCCTGACCAACTCTTGTTTAAAACTCCGAACTGTACACAATATTCCTGTCACCAGTAACAAGGATGGTAAGCAGCACTCAAACAAAGAATCTTTTTTTTGTGTTGTGGTAGGACGCTTGGTTTTTTTGTCTTTTTTGCAAACTCACTCGGTGTCCCGCTGCTCCTTCCTCTCTGCGCTGCTTTAAATTTAAATTCACACAAAAGTGCCCGTTTCACTTTCGGCGCGGAGAAGCCACATAATGACGGCAGGGGCCCTGGTAGGAGATAAATCTGGGTTACAATATGTTTCTCATCTCAGCTCGTAGCAGACAGTGCCGCACAGTGTGTCGGGAGTTAGCTCTGTGCCCCTATATGTTTGTTTTTGATCCAGATCTCCACGTTACAACTTCTCCAAGCGGCTGGGGGGGGTGACATTAAAGCCATCTGGCCGACCTACTCTGATCTCCTCAAATGCCACTGGTGTCTCACAGGCACACAAAACACACTTACATAAACAGAGAGGTTTCAATACATAGAAAACCACATTGTTTCAATCTTTCTGAAAAGAAAAAAAACCTTTCCCTCTTCTATACAGTGGGATCTCTTTCTGGGCTGTTGTTATGACATCGAGAAGCTTTAAAGTGGTTTTTATTTTCTTTTTCCTGTGCGGTTAACTTTGCAAGACGACCCCGCTGAAGTTCTCGGAACATATTTTTCCTAATTTTTCCCACAGTTTTTGCTTCCACAAACTCCCATGATCCATAATTGATAAAATCCATTTTACACTTAAGATCTACCAGTGCGTCTCAGAGCAGACCTGTATCTTCTGGTATAACATTAAAAAAAGACCTGATGGTGGATTATGGGTTTCCATTCATTAGCAAGGAAATCTAACACATTTTACTGGATTGAACATAATAAACTGGATGGGGCTGCATTGCACTGCAACATTGTCAGAAATAAACTACGTGGAAGACAAGAGGATAATGGAAAAGCTTTATTTTAGGATTTTAGGGATATTATGTTAAATTTGGAAAGACATCCAGTCAGTGTAGTGAGTTTATTTCTAACTGATTCAAACCAGGCACGTCAGAGTCATTTTTGCATCTTGCAGGTGCATTACATTTCCACTTAAAAAGGGGCAAAAACATGAAAAAAACTTTTTATGAGATATTATTGTTTGAGTGTGAACTCATTCTAAAGAGTTTCTACAGAATTAGATTTAAAAGGTAGCCTTTGTATTGTAGCCTTTCATGGATATGCTAACAGTATAGTTTTAGTTGCACCCTAAAGTCCTGAGTGGGCACGTTTCCTTTAACTGATCCATTTTTTTCCTCTGGAAAAGATATAAACAGGACATGTCAATGCTGCTCTGGCCGGCCTGACATCCAAAACCTTTTTCAGTTTGTTGAGACTTTCAAGTTTGGTTTTGCCCCCTGTTTTGATTGGATGTGTTTTGGTGGGAGATGCGGTGGGTCCAGGGCAGTGTTGCTCTCACCGGTCATTGGGGGGCCTCTGCCCCGCATGTTTTGGATGTTTTCCTGCTTCGACACACCTGGCTCGGATTAATGCACCACTGTCAGGCCCGGGCAGAAACCCCACAAGCCGTCTTGGGGAGCTATTTCATTTGAGTCAGGTGTGTTGAAGCACAGAGACATTTGAAACATGCAGAGCAGTGGCCCCAGAGGAGCGGATCTGAGGAATGGTCGGCTGGGAAACACAGTATTTCCCTTTGGTCGAACATTGCAACTTTTCTTTAAACAGTAGTTTGGTATGCAAACATGAATTTAGTGGGTGTTGGTATTTAAGGCTGGTGCCCATATTGGTTTTCTCAGCTTGTTTTTAAACTGTTTATAAAAAAAGAGACAGATATTACTGTAGACTAAACAAATTTGTCAGCAACAGAACGAGCAGAGTCTGAGTCTTGCCTTACCTTTGACCCACTGCTCGTTATAAAGCAGACGTGGACAAACACCTCAGTGACATGTGAAGCAAAGAGCTCAGCGGGGGTCAGAACGGATACGACACGCCGAAGGAATGATTCTCATAACTTAGGGGTTAGATCACACAAAACCCTTTTGATACTCAACCTCTTCATCTGACTCCCTTGATTGAATTAAAGTCAGCTTTCATAAGTTGGTTAGCGCTTTTAGCAGTTCATCGCCTAGGTGAGACATAAACGTCTGTCGGAGGCAAAGCAGCACACATTTTGGCCACCGTGAAGCTGAACCTGTGAACCGTCTCCCCGTGAAACTCCCAGGCTGCATATTTAAAACACACACTTCTCAGTTAACCCCGAGGACCGACTGCCCTCCTCTCAGCTGTCTGCACCGCTGCCATCCTCCATCATGGTTTATTTACCAGGAAACAGCCAGGCTTCACAGGCCTCGACCAAAGCAAGAATGTCTCCTCTTCATGCATCTGTCGGTGGGACGCAGGGAGGGGGGGGTCGTCCACCCCTGAACCTCAACACAGCAGCTAACTCAGCTGTTAAGGAGGACTGTTATTACTGATGATGTGTGGTCTTATTCATATCTGACTAAAGGCTTTGTTCTTATCTCAACTTAAAATAATGTAAATGTATTCCTCAGTCATTTCCTTAATAAGTTTTATGTCAGTTTCAAATTATAACAAGGGGAATGATTTGATCAGAAAAACTCCTACCTCATCCCTGTAGAAATATCCCTTTATTTGTATTTAAACGTGTTCATATTAAACATTTCAGTGATGCTTATTACTTTGTCTTACGCTGTCAAAAAATTGGGGTACAATAGGAGTACATTCATGTCTCCTCAGGTCCTTTATAAACTTATATACCCTATATGGCTAATAACTGAACTCTGAGGCCCATATTTGTACTTTGAGAGGCCCTGAATGGTACGCTAGTCTTCCCAAGTAGTATATGGTCAAACTACATGGGTACAAGACCAGGACTAAGCCTAAACTCCCAATCCGACTTGTAGCTACATTGTGTAACATCAATATATTCTTTTCTTGCTCATGAATTAAGAGTTATGTGTGCTTGTTTTTTCCAGATGAGGAAACTCCTGGCCTGTACGGCTTCCTGCATGTGATTGTCCGTTCTGCCAAAGGATTCAAGGAGTCAGCCAGTGAGTCGGCCAGAAACGGCTTCTTTTTTTCTTTTTTTTCTCCCCCCACGTTCGTGCGCACGGTCCAGCTTCTGTGCATGTGTGTCTGCCAGCAAAACACACGATCCAGCCACTCACTGCAGCCAGCACACACAGCCCAGCCAATGACCAGATGGACGGATGGGTGGAGGAAAAAAGTGGACTGTCAGAGATGGACTATTAGAGCATCTCATGGAAACTGTGGAGAGCTTCCATGTCATCACGTAGCACACATCACAGGTCACACTAGAACACTCCAGGGGCGTAAAAAGAAAGAAGTTCTGAGATGCTGCGCAACAGCTTTCACCGTGCAGCTGCAGTTCTTTTGTGGCCGTTTGTGGCCTACCTTCCACAAACGTTCCTTTGTGCGTGGCTCTGCAGGCAGATCCCTGCGCGGACGCTCGTTACGGCGTTGGCAGGAAACCTCAGGGGCTGTTTTGGACAGTAGTGGACAGCTGGGGCTCCGGTACATTCTGTGCCCTTTGTTGCGCAAGTGCCCGTCCAAATATCAGATGTCATGGGGAAGACGCGGTGAAAGAAATATGGGCTTTTGCTCAGTTACCATGACAGCCCCTCAGTTGTGTCGATGAAAGCTGCCCCCACCCCAGAATTTCCCAGTTAAATGGATTGGAAAGCTCCCTCCACTGAAAGCTTCTGTGATCCTCGGCTGAGTGCAAAGAGCTGACGGGTTTAAAAATTAAGAAAGTGTGCGTTTATGCGTGCATGAGGGGAAGTTGGGCGGGTTGGCTGATACGGTTTGACGGTTTGGTGAAGCGAGCAGAGTCAGGGTGGGGCTCAGCGAGCCACGCCGTCAATGTGGGATAGAGTATATGTGGAGGTCATATTGATGTTCACATCTCACCCTCTGTGTACATTTTCCTCCTGGAATACCTGACCTGACGTGTATGTTTTAATTCTCAAAGCAATATGTCAATACTTGATATATCTCTTTTTTTAATGTCTCCAAAGGCTCCTGCTTTAAGAGGAGTACCAGCTCTGGCTTTTTTTCCAATTTTGAAAATAGCCATTATAATCAGACGTAATGGGCCGCATTCGGTTCAAAAACCTAGAAGTCCATCCAGTTAGGCGAATTACTTGGGTTTCTCCAGATGTAGCCTGAGGTTTGGATTTGGTTTTTTATGTAACTGCTGTGTGAAGATGATGGGGAGCTTCCTGCATAATTCAGCCTGTGTGGTTTGTTTCAGTAGTTACTTCTATGTCTTTTTCACTGTCACTCAGCCGTTTCTCTCTGTTATGCATTTTGACTCTTTGTGCTGAACTTTTGCTATAGTGAATGCATAATTTGATCAACATGGATTGACATCAATGGGTCTTAAGACTGGAAATAGCCGTACGCATTCAGTATTTTCAGCTGCTGAAAACACCTGGGGTCGTCGACAACAGCCTAATTTTTCATGTCCCCATACTCTGAAAAGCGGCATAAGTAGGCAATACAAGATCGTTTTTGAGCTGTTATTTGTGTCACAACAATCTCTCCGCATTGGGAAGGGGGCTTTGAATTCAGCCCAGGGCAAAGTTAGTCTAACTGGGTCACAGTGGGGAAAAAAACTGGGAGCTGAGCATCTCCCAAAAAGCCTATAGAAAATCATGACCTAGTAAAAAAAAAAAGAAAAGAAAGCGGGAAAAGGATCAAATTATGCTTAGTTTATTTTTATGTGCGTCTCAGCATAAGTGAGAAGGCATTGTTCCACCTGTAGTCTGCGACTGCAACATTTCTCTGCAGCCCATGCTGCAGTGTGAGCTGTTGCAGGAGCGTTAACAGATCCAGATGAGGACAGGCAGATAGGAGAAGAGCACAAAAGCCACTCCAACATCACCCACAGAGACTGGAGCTGCTGCTATGAGACAAACAAAAGCTATATATGAGCTTTCCGCAGCAACCATGCTTTTTTATGGTCTTTTCAGAATGATCAGTTTAGTCTCTCTCCACTTTTCGCTAAAAGATTTAAAGCGAAAGCTGTTATGGCTTCTTATGACTCCTGTAACTCCTGTGTGAAATCAAATCCAGCCATGACTGCCTGTGTTCTCATCTGTCGTTTGCCACGCTTTTATTAGTTTTCTCCCTCTGGATTCAATGAAAACAGTTAGATTCCCCCTGTCCCCTGCTTATTTTGTTTGTGCTCTAAGACGAATATTTTTTCTTTCCCGAAGCCTGCAAGCAACACTCACAAACAAACAAACAGTCCCTCTCATGGCTGTAAGTTGGAACTATAGAGACACTGATTAGTTTAGCTGATTATCACTTGTCTCCAGATTCTGTGAACCCATAGTTTGACCCAGCATTTAGCACCCTGGGGCCAAAATTAGCCCCCTCTATGAGAACACACACACACTGCAATGACTGCAGTCCTTGCCTAATTGAGGAAGAACAGGATGGTATCCATTAACCCCCTGTATTTAAGGGTCAGAGCCCCCATGCCGACCAATCTATCCCCCTCATAGTCTAAGACCCATGGTGACCTGCCAGGAAAATGAAAACTCATGGAATTCTGTCCTACTTTCCAAATCTGTCCTGGATCCAGTAAAAGGACACACACACACACACACAAAAAAAACTCTCCAAATATGCTCTCCGTGGCCTTGTTTGAGTTTTGGGTCGAGGCACATAAACCTGTTTCAGATGGAGAGGAAATCAACTTTGAGACACAGAGTTTGTGAGGACCATGAATGCACCCCTCTTCTCCTTGTGTCGCTCTGTAAAGTGACAGTGTCTCAAACAAAAGGCCTCCTCTACTTTTTTGAGCTAATCATCAATTTTTATGCCATAAAGCGTCAAGAAGGACCAAAGATGTATCGATAAACTGGATCCATTTTTGAGATGTTTTATAGCACGTGGAGCCGGTGGTAGAAGCCATAAGCTCTTATGCCTCTCTATGTAACGGAAGTATACGTTAATTGCTTCATTTTCAGAAATATCCCCCAGATGGTCACGCTGAATTCCCCTTTCGCGAACTTCCCTCAAACCTCCGCTACTAATCTCTTCCTCACTGGAAGTAATTGCGCCAAAACCTTTCAGGATGCAGAGAAAAACAAACAAAGAAGGAGCAGAACCAGATGGAGTGAGATCCCAGTACTGTATGGCTCCGTTGGTTCGTATGTGTGAGAGTTTGCTCCTGTCAGTCACAGCTCACTCAGACGTGGGTGGCATCCCCTCACACTCCGGAACCAGGTAGCACTCGCTACGACTTAGCATCCGATGCAAATTCCGTATTTCGACGTGTATCAATTCAAACGAGTTATTCAAGGAGGCCTCTTAACCACCAAAAGCGCCCCATCCTCCCCGACACCGGCCGTGGCGACTGTCCCGGTGTGAGGTCAGAACACAAAGCCATCCATCATGCTGTCAGTGGAAGGTAACCCCGCGAGAGCAGGTCCCGGCTCCGGGACGCACCGGAGACGCCTCGCAGACAGCTGGCAGCGCAGTTTTGCAGGCACAGCTCCGGCAGCCTGTAAAGAAGCACATTAACAGACTTAATTGCCGGGCGTCGGAGCCGGGGAGAGCCGATCCCAGCGGAGCGGCGGCGGCTGCGGAATGAGGATGTTGAGAGCAGAGGGCATCTGAGGGGGGGGTCGATTGTGTACACGGGCAGGAGATGGATGTCTGTCAGCTGACAGACTCCTGCACGTTGACAATGTGAAGAAGGGCTGTTATGATGAAGTAAAAATGCGGCACATTTTCCTTCCTGTGAGTGCGCGTTTGCAGCTAGATGCAGTGAAGGACGAGCTGCCACTGTGGAATTTGAGCCCGGTGAATGGTTACACACATTTACCCTGTAGTGTACAGGGCTGTGGAACGCTATTTTACATTTATATTCCTCTTGGGTTGAACCCTATGTTACTGATCAAAGTCACAATGTACCTCTCCATCTAAAATATATCGTCATATGTGATTACTTTGCTCTTTTTTGTTAGGATTTGTTGTGCCATTTTCTAAAGTTGAGAACTAATGAAAATGTAAACATACTCAATGATTAAACTGCTAATTGTTAGAGGAAGCTAGATGAATATTACATAAACGTTTGGGGACCCATTAACAGCTCTTTGTGCTGACTTCTAATTAAATGGAACATTATGTCTGGTGTTAATGACTCTAAAAATCAATCCAGCGTTCAGCGTGAGGTAAACATGTGACTCCATTATGTGTTGCAAGAACTCTTAAATGTTGTTCAGTTCTGGACTGTAGTTTGCAATGCTCTACAGTAAAAGGTGGGACAATAGATTTAACCGATGGTCTTCTTTTCTTTTAGATCTATACTGCACCCTTGAAGTGGATTCATTCGGTTACTTTGTCAGCAAGGCCAAGACCCGAGTCTTCAGAGACACCACAGAGCCTCAGTGGAACGAAGTCAGTCCCTGCACATCCACCTGTCCAGTGTAATGTTTTAGTCACCCTGCAAAGGCATCTGTGTAATTTCCTTTCTCTACAACGGTGTTGTCGCACAGGAGTTTGAGATCGAGTTGGAGGGCTCCCAGTACCTGCGGATCCTTTGCTACGAGAAGTGTTACGACAAAAGCATGCTCAACACGGACGACAACGAGATCGTGGACAAGATCATGGGGAAGGGGCAAGTCCAGGTAAGAAGACAGCTGCCGACAGGCCACCACAGGAATAGCCCATGCACAAAGAGGGACGTCTGTGTCCCGTTGGGGAGACTTTCCTCCATGTGACTCATTTTAATTGGCCGTCTGGGCTCGCTGCACAATAGAGCGGTCTGACAGTGGTGGCCTGTAATGACACCGGTTGGATAACAGTCTGAGGGTTTATTTAAAAGGGGTTTCCCGTGTTGTTGTGAGAAACGGCTCCTTTCGGATTCCTTTCACAGGCTTTTTAAATAATGGAAAGTGTGTTTATGTAATGGAGCCCAGCCCTGTTCTTTCGCCTCTTTGCTTCGTTGCTCATGGTGAACGGATCGGCCCCCTGAAGTGTCAAGCGGCCATTTTTCTTGAGAGCCGTTTTGGTCAAGTAAAGCTTGACTCTTGTCGATTTCCTGCTCTCCAGTTAAAGTGCTGCTGTGCCAGTTTAATCTTCCGCTGACCTGTAATTGATAGAACTTGGCATTATTTGGGTCGGCCGTGAGGATTTGAAACGCTCTCAGTATTCAATAGGGTGCCCACCTTCCTCTCCAGTGACACAAGTCGGAGCTGGAGGTGAGCTTGTCTCTGCTCGTTTGTCAAACTTCTTCCGGCGCCCTTTAGGCTTGAAAGAAATATTCAAATGAGTTAAATATTTCAAAGATCTGTTTTTGACTGCAGCACCTGGCGTAACATTTGGAGTCACAAGTAAAAGCGGAACCTGTGACAAGTCTTGCTTGGAACTGTTCCGTCTCAGATAGTTTTTTTATTTTTTTAAAACTGGGGCAAAGATGAACCATCCCCATAAAGCGAAGGGGAAAGGATTCATCTCAAAAATATCTCTTTGTTCCAACCAAAAGTTCCTGCTACATATCATTCACAAAGGCCCTGAATGGAAAAATAGCACCCAGCACATGTTTATGTTCGCATTTCCTGTTTGTCACCACCGCTTTCTGTGCTTTTCTCCCTCTCAGTGTGATGATTTATGTCCTCGTCTGGTGTCTTGTATAAAGCAAAGGGATGGGCGTTGGGCTGTGCCACGCATGCATACTTCATGATACACATGCATCTCTTTGTGTCACGTCCTTTTGTGTCTCTTCAGTTCATTTGTCTTTGTTCTGTTGTTTGCCAAAACCGCCAATCAGTAGAAGGTTTAAGATTTAAATCTGATTCGTCAAAGTAATTTTACCCCTCTTTCTTAAATGTATTTTATTTTATTTTTTTAATTAAAGAATGGACATATAGGGCACTATATATATATATATATATATAATAACATGTGAACCAGGAGGATTAAAGTTCTGCCCGGTTGTTAGTGGATTTATTATCACTGAGGCAAGATGAAATCCTGACCTTGTTTTCTTTGACCGCACAGTGTTAATGAATAGTTCAGACATGGAAGGACTCGTGTTTCATCACATGAAGCAGATATCTGGGGCCGTATGGATACGTGTGGAATCCGAGCGCCGTGCAGAGTGCATACCTGGAGAGACTCTGCACTGGGACCCGAGCTGTTTGCTTTCCTGGTGCAGCTGAGTTTAGGAGCCTTCAGTGTTGTGCTTTCCTCTCCGGAGACCCTCTGATTTATTTAACAAGCTTGCAGAATACTGACTGACCATAAATGGGCAGTGGCCTTAAAGTTTTTTTTTAATTCTTTGCTTTTTTTAAGCCACTGCTTTTTTCTTTTATTACTTGACTTTGTTGTTGGAGCTCCTCTGTCACCAGCAAATGCCACAACCTGGGTCAGAAGTCTGGATCTCACGGTTACAGTCATTCTTTTCCACAGGGGATGGACTATGTATGACACCCTCAAACCCATGAGCACGTCAAAGGGGAAATTCACAGTCTGACTATAGCAGCACTAATATCTCCCTGATTGAGTTACTTATCCATATGAGGAATGCCAGCATTTATTTCTCCTCCAGGCAGATAAACTCTGACCTCTGTGGTCATGTGGCTAATGCTCCATTAAAAACCAACAAAGTCCGGGTTATGCTCTTCTTGTTTTCTAAGTGGGATAAACAATGAAATCCTAAATGTGTGTAAAATCTTTGGCACGCTGCCCCAGATATTTTTACTTTGTATCTGTGACGTGAGCTCTGTTATCCACAGAAACTTCGAGCAGCTATGGCTGTTAAAGCCGAAATGACGTGATTCTTCCCAAAAATTCAGCCTTCCGGGGTAAAACTTAATAAAAAGTCCTGAACTGGTTATAGGGGAAAGTTCAAACGCCCTCTTGGTATTTCATCCCTACTTCTTTTGCCTCGCAGGCTGTATTTGTTATCCAAAGCGACCTTTACGTGTCGGCTGTAGCTTGCTATCCTGGTCTTCAGAGGGCGGGTTATGTAACTGTTTAGGCTAACAGCCGCAGTGCTTTGCGCAGCAGAAATGCATCATATCACACCGAGTCAGTAATGCTTTCATCTGGTAACTCGGTCTCCACCAGCTCAAGCCCAGCCTCTCCCGGGCTTGTATTTCTCCTCTTATCAGGGAATGAAATTGTTGTCTTTTAGGCACCCAGAGGACTCGGAGTCATTTAGCCCGTCCCTGCTGTTCTGCGGAGGATTGTTTTTATAAGATGAAACGAGATCCCTCCATAGGTGTTTCTCAAGGCTGTAGCTCGACGTCTTTGGTTGTTTTGAAGAGCAGAGTTTTAGCTGAGGTGAAAGGGTAAGTTAGTTATTGTTGTACAAATCCAGTCGGCAGTCAGGATGTGTCATGCCAATCCAGATGTGTTATGTATACTGAAATGGATATAGATGTATATTGAAACGACATAACTTGGGAATCTCACGGCCAACGCCATATGCTGCCGTACTGAATGTCCTTTTCGCAGTGGACTAAAGGATCTGCATGTTCTCTTCAGAATCCTGTCCATATCACGTCCAATAATGGTGTTATTTCTGTAACATCTCCTGCAGAGCTACGTCCCCAGCAGAGGGGACACTCAGGACTCACACATCCTGCTTCCTAGTACCCGGGACTGTTTTTATTGACGCATGTTCCAGGAATGAGTGTGTTTCAACCCCTCGTTGCAACACGGTTTCCAAGCATCAATAAAAGGAAGCTGATAGTTTGGACCCCCCTCAGAGACAGACAAGAGCCGGAGAAGTTGGGCATTAGGTGCAAAAAGACAAACAGACGAAGAATGTGTTGGTTCCCGGCAGCTCTTATCTCGTCCCGGGCAGCCAGGGATGATGCAGCCGTCCACACGGGCTCCACGCATTAGCTCCTCGTTACCATAATGTAAAACCGCGTGTGCAGAGGGCTTGTAAAGTTTGACTCAGGCATCTGTGTGCACTCTCACTCCCACTTAAAAGCCGAAGCGCTCTCCTCTACACGAAGCATCCGATGCAAAGTTTGACATTTACACGCCACGTGAAGGGTTTATTGGTGCAATTGTTGGGAATAGTTGTTGGCCGGCCATCTGGAGAAGAAGCCGGGAAACAGCAGGCGCGAGCTGCGTGTTCTGATCTGATCTCTCATTCACCGGGGGGGGGGGGGGGGGGGTCAGAGGCCACACCAGAGTCTGCCTGTCTTCGGTTCTTTCAGAAATATTTACGATAAGAATAAAAACTTATTTCACATTCAGCACATATAAAACAGTAAAAACATTGCAGAGAACAGACAAAAAAAAAAGAAAAATTGCATTTTTTCCCTTTAGTGCATGCGGTATGGTGCTGTTTCATCCCGTGTTTGCTTTTAAACGTGCCGTTCGGCGGCTGTAATGAGGATGTGTGTGTGCCGGTGTTTACCCATGGATCCGGTGTGGCAGTATTGATATAAATTAGCATCTTATACACGGTGTCATCTATTTTGTTACTGCCTTCTGTCATTAGAGGCTGCCATCTATCTTGTTTCCATCCGACAAACCCCCTGCAGCCGTGCGCACGCAGTCGCACAAAAAGCTGTCAACAGCTTTAACAGATGGGACTCCGCTGAGTGGGTTCGGGCACCCCGGGGGCAAACCGCAGACTTGCATACTCACACAACTGGGTGATGGGGTAATGCGTTCTATCAATAGCTTGAACCTGCTTTATTATCTGTTTGTTAGCTTACCCCACCGTTTTCTGACAAGGTGTGTGTGTTGGCGTGGGGGGTTGGAGATGGATTGGGTTCTCACATCCTTTTAAAACAAACAAAAATGGTCTTTATCCTCAATACTGTGATTTCCAAAAGCACTTATATAGCCATTATGAGCGAAGTGCTGATTTTTTTTTTAGTATGCATTTAATGAGTCTCATCTCTCAAATCTGTCCAGTTTCTTTTTTGTGAATAGTGAATTTTTTATTGATGAAGAGACCCAATTTTCTCCTCATCAGTCGGATCCTTGATCAATGGAGCTCATAGCTCCATCCCGATGGATTAAGAAAGAAAAGCGTTTCGCTGTCATCTCTTCTGAAAGATGTTCCCGTCGGAGCTCTTTCTTATAGACAGCCTTTGTTCCCTCTTCGAACACTCCCCGCCACATGGAATACGCGCGCCCTAAATAAGATGAACTAAACATGCAGGAGAAAAAAAAAAGGTTTTTGCTTTGTGAATAAAACAGGAAAGAACCCTGGTTTGTGTGCAAGTATGAAGACAAAAAGGCACGTCATTAACATTTTTTTTCTGTGTAGAAAAGGATAGAAGCAGGAGTTCTATTGTTCCACTTCTGATGTAGCAAAATTTGAAATTCACGAGTCACATTCAGATCGAGATGAGTTGAAATGGTTTAAAAGTGTTGATCAAGTTCAGAGCCCATATGCTTCATCATCACAACACCCTTCTTCTTTAATTGAACAAAAGTATTTAGCATGTTTATTTTTTGTTCATCCCGGCTGGTGTCTTAAAGATGATGCATAATCCATCTAATCCAAAGAGTTAAGCTGTTAATGTTCTCATCAAAGCCAGCTCAGTTAACCGTGTTGACGGAAAACCATATAATGTGGCTTGCTGAGATCTTACTGGCTGCTGGTGGAAGTTTAATGAAATGTTCTGCTTTAACCTGCCGAAAGGGAGATGCCAAAAATTAGACTGGTTTTTGCAACTTTTGATTCATGAACTATGATCTGTGGAGGAAAAGAGAAGTAAGGATTTTAGTTTAGTCTTAAAAG